AAAAAAGAATATATTGAAAACATACACTCAAATTAAAAACTGGGGAACAGACCTAAACAGATAATTCTCAAAAGAGAAAACTCCAATGGCAAAGAAGCAATTAAGTTAATTTTTAGCATTATTATTCATCAGATAAATGCAAATCAGTATTACTTTGAGACTTGAATGGCCTTTATAAATAAAATAAATTCTTGCTCATAGTGGGGAGAATGTGGAATGAGTGGGGTATTCATCTATTCCTGGTGAGATTGCAAACTTTTATAGCCTTTATAGCGATGTTTGATATGTTCACAGGCATACGGAAACTGTTTGACCTTAGCATCCAGTTATGCAATCAAAGGACATGTTCCCATCCAACCCATCTCATCCTACTCCAATTGAGTAAAGACATTTACTCAATGATGTTCTGTATTGCTCTATTAATAATAGCACATAATTGGAAACATTATACATATTAATTAATGGAAACATAGGCTAACAAAATGTAGATCAATTACACAGATGAATATTACTCAGTCAAGAAAATAAAGTGAAATCACGTATCTCCTAGTGAGATAGACGCAGTGATTAGAAGTCTCCCAAACAAAACACTCAGGATCAGATTAATTCAGTGCAGAATTTTTACCAACTCATCATAGAATTAACAGCAATACTCCTCAAATTAGTTCAGAAATAAAAATTGAAGGAATATTTGGCTTATTAGGCCACTATTTTCTTACTGCCAAAACTTCGGAAACACCCAACACAAAAGAAAATTATGAACATAGATGCAAAGATTCTTAAAAAATATTTCCAATCCAAATCCAAGAACATATCAAAAGGATCAGTAACCATCATTAAATATGGTGGATATGCTTTGATCTAGAGATGCAAGAATGGTTGAACATACATAAATTGATAAATGAACTCCACCCCTGAACAGACTAAAAGATAAGCCCCATGATTGTTTAATTAAATGTAGAAGGACTAACTATATCCACCATCCATTCATGATAAATGTTTCAGAGAGTCCAAGAACACAAGAGTCATTTTTCTGCATAAAAGTGCAATTAGACTAAATCATAGCAAACATCAACTGAAAGGGAGAGAAACTTAATGCATTCCACCAAATCAAGAATAAGATAAGGATATTGTATAATTTGGCAAGGGAAATATGAGCAAATATATTGTATAAAAAAAGTTTTCAGTGCAAGAAAAAGATTCTAGGATAGTTAGTAGCTTTCTGAATAAGAATCTTGTAAATATGAAAATAATGACAAATTTCAAATGAGACTGTATTAAATTAAAATGTTCCTGCAGATCAAAGGAAACAATTGAAGAAAGTTAAAACCTACAAGAATGGGAGAACATTTTTGCTCACTATACATCTAACAGCAGACTAATGTGTAGAACATACAAAGAACAACAACAACAAAAACCTAATAAATAATAGAATCCCCCAAAATGTGGTACCTAATAAACAAATAAATCTCATGAAAAAAATATAAGTGAGGAAAATGTTAAATTTCATTAACCATCACTGAAATGTAAATCAAATCTATGTTTAAATTTCTTCTCATTCAGCCTAAAGAGTAATCATTAAGAAAAAGTAACAGATAATTTGAGCTTTTGTCAAAAATAAAATGGTATTAGGTTAGCCTTTCATGAGTTAATAACCATTTATTTCCCATAGACCCATAAGCACTGTAGGCTACTGCTAAGTAATCTTAGTAACCCTATAGAACTTGATAGTGAAATCCCATTTCTGAAGGTACCACATTCTAAAATCAGAAGACATGGAGATATTAGTTAATATTTACATGAAATGTTCATTTTGAATGGCTAGATTAGATCTGGAACATAATATCTAAATCACTGGGAGCAGAGTTGGTCTTCAACCTCATACCATTGTAAACTTTACAATCTGTAACACAACTAGCTTGACAAATTGCCCATTGGTACAATACAATGGATAGTATGAGAGTCTCAACCACATTGTTATAAGGACTATTTCCTATTCTGTGAGATTGCATATTCCTGACACTATTAATGGGACCAATAACCTGAGGATATGTTATAGATCTGAATTCACAATGACTCTGAGAGAATTCAAGAAATATATATAAGCTCAAGCAAGACAAAAATCCATCACAGAATTGTGAAATGTAGGAATGGAATCTCATCTCATCATTCCACTAGCAGCTGTTAGTATTTGCTAGCTGCAGGAAAGGGAGTGCCAAGTTTGATTTTTGTATTTTACTCGTATGAGTTGCTGAAAATTCCAGTCAGATGGCTGTATATAGATGTATAAGAGACTCCCCAATTTTATTACATTAAAAATAACTGTTTTTTCATGAGTTACATTCTGTTTTTAATACTTTACACCTTTAATTTAACTTGAAATATAGGATGGTTATACCTCCAGCAGTTCTTTTGGGGGCAGGAGTGTTGTTCAAGATTCTTTTGGTTATCTTGGACTTTTCATATTTCCATATGGAAGTTAAGATTATTTTTTAAATATCTGTAAATAACAAGATTGAAATTTTAATAATGCTTAAATTGAATCTGTAGATTGGTTTGGTTAAGATGGCAGTTTCACAAATTTAATACTTCTAATCCATGAGGGTTGGCTATATTTTAGTATCTTTTGAACTTCATTTTTAGTATTTTTAACATTTCATTTTATAATATTAAGGGTACTGTGAATGGTATTATTTCCTCAATTTCTTCTTTGGGGTGTCTGTTAATAAATAGAAATGGTAATGGTGTTTATATTTTAATTTTGTACTCTATTTCTTTGTTTAATGCATTCAAATTTGCAAGATCTATCTAGTAGTGTCTTTTTTTTTCAAACAAAGATGTTTTGAGTTTTTTCTTTCCTATGTATACTCTATTAATGTTCTTCAGTTGTCTTATTGTTCTAATAAATCAAGTACTATATTAAATAGGTTTCAAGAGTGGACAATTTTCTCTTGTTCCTGATTTTAGTGAAAATACTTTGAATTCTCTTCCAATTACATTGATGTCGATTGTGGGATTGCTCTAAATTGCTTTAACTGTTTCAGGTATTATTCTAATGAACTTGCCTTTACTGTATTGAGTATTTTTCTCTTGCACCATTTAACATTTAATTTTCTCACTTTGTTCTATATTTTTGAATGATTAGGTGTCATGGAAAAGTTTTTCTTTGTGATCTTACCTATTTGATATTCTGCATGTTTTTTTCTCATGATAAGCATTTTTTCTGTAAATTAGGAAAATGATTTTTCATTTTACTATTTATAATTTTATTGAGAATATTTTTGTTTTTTGATCAGATTTTCTTCTCTATTACTATTATTCAAAGCCTTGATTTTTCATAGTATTCAAGAGTTTCTGCATATTCCATTTTTGAGATGGTTTGGACTTGGTATTTTCTGTGAATGAGTTATACAAACACTCCTCCGGTCTTCAAGCCTGATCACTTCCAGGTGATCGAATCTTATGGTCAGCTTTTCTTTCATTACTTTTATTTGACTTAAACATGTCTATTGAAAATGGTTTTCTGCCTGTGTGAAATCAGTATAAAAACTCTCCAACAAGTAAACTAATTGTATTCTAACTACAGTATCTTTGGGAATTTATCCAGAGGACTCTAACCTTATATATCATTGAGATATTTGGACATATTTATAGAACACTGCTTAGGCAGTACTGTTCACAATATCTAAGCTATGAAACCAACTTAGGACTCCAAGAGAAGAGTGAACAAAGCAAATGTCTTATATATAAAATGTAAAAGTGCTTTTTATCCACAAAGAACAATGTTGTTACATCAAAATAACAACTGGGAATTTGATGAGAAAATGGGAAATGACAGTAAAGTCTAGAAAGGCATGTTCAAAGTACCTTACAGTATTATAGAAAAATGTTATTATGTAATCCAAAATCAAGTACAATGCATATGTTGATAGAAAATAACAATAAAATCTTCAATCTGCATGAAATTTTAGCATTTATTAAAGATAAAAGCCAATTTCTCTACTCATTATGGGGATATATAATTTTCAGGGGACTTTTTTGAAGAAAAGCCATCACTTTAAAGGAATATGGTTTACATAAATGCCTATTACGTTCAAGAGCACTTCAGAAATTGTTACAAATTCTGCCTTAATATCATGTCAAAACTCTTTTAGTAATTTAAATGTTTTCTATATATTTATGTAGTTTGTAAATGTGTATAATGATATATAAACATATAAACTCCACATTTTCACTTGATCCCTACCAATTATCTCTATATGCTTTAATACAGGATTTCTACCCAATTTCATAAACTTCTTCAAGTAGTCTTTTTAGTCCTATTAGTGTTGACTATTTATTCTGAAGTTAGGGGCTAACCCTCGAGCATGAAAATGATATCAGTGGTCACATAACCAAAAAGAAATGAGTGTCCCTTCCCAATAAACTATATACTGCAAATAACTACTCTTTGAAACTCAAGACAGCAACACAAATATCAATTGTTAAAATTAAACATTCTGAATAAAAGTTAAATTAGAATAATTTTATATTTACATACAGATAAATTATGTTAGGAAATTATGGGAAAATCTTTGCTTCATGTAATTAAAGAATCATGTTTTCATTTATGCCTGTGGTAAAAGCATGGCAAATTTTAACAAACCTAATCTGATCTAAAGTATTTCTGGCTGCATTCTTTACTATTTCACTGTATAAAATCATGTGCTGTGCCAATTTTTAAAATTACATGTTCATAAACCAGGCCACAGTAAAGCTATAAGATGTAACTTGGACAGGCACAGCAAGGTACACCTAGATTCACTACATGAATGCACTAATGTTTGATCATTTTATATTCAAAGATTTATATAGTCACTATATTTTTCATTATACCATGCTAAGTTATCTGACCCAGAAGTAAAGAAAGAATATATATAATCTGTGTGTGTGTGTGAGTGTGTGTGTGTATATATATATATATATATATATATATATATATATATATATATATTTTATACAGGTAGGTAAATTATATTACTTGACTGAAAGTTTTCTGGAGGGCTTTCTTGATGTCCTTGTTTCTCAGGCTGTAGATGAAGGGGTTCATCATGGGAACCACCATGGTATACATTATCGAAGGCACCACACTTTCCCTGGAAGAACTGGAAATGGATGAGTTAAGGTACACGCCAAGACCTGTTCCATAAAATAAGCAAACAACTGACAGGTGAGATCCACAAGTAGAAAATGCTTTATATTTCCCTAACAATGAAGGAACTCTAACAATGGAGGAAACAATTTTATAGTAGGAGTAAAAGATACCTGAGGCAGGGAGAAAACCAAGAATGATACTAACAAGAAATACGACTATGTTATTGATAGTAGTGTCAGAACAGGCAAGTTTTAGAAGCTCTGGAACATCACAGAAGAAATGAGGGATTTCTAAATTAGTGCAAAATTTTAGTTGTGACACCATCAAGCAGTGTACCTGTGAATCAATGAGACTGATACAAAATGACACTATAACCAAACATCTACACAGACGAGGGTTCAGAAGGACTTGGTAGTGTAGGGGGTAACAAATGGCAACCCATCGGTCATAGGCCATCACTGCCAGTAGGAGGCTGTCCATACACCCAAAAAGAAAGAAAAAAGAAACCTGAGTTAAGCAGGCTGCGTAAGTTATGGATTTGTTGTGGGTGTGCATGTTTATCAGAAGTTTGGGGACTGTGGTGCTGCTGAAGCCAATGTCAGACAATGAAAGGCTGTAGAGGAAAAAGTACATAGGGCTGTGGAGGTTGGAATCAGAGCTGATGGCCAAGATGATGAGCACATTTCCAAGCACAGTAAGCAGGTATATGAGCAGGAATAGTGCAAATAAAATGGCTTGCAGTTCAGGGTCCTCTGAGAGTCCAAGGAGAAGGAATTCCATGGTATCTGTTAAATTATGTGGTTCCATGGGACTAGAATATCTTTTTATAAATGAAAACAAAAAAGATTTTGTAATGGATTAAGCAGTATAGAAGCAACTTGCTACATACCTATATTTTTGTAACCAAGCAATTTATAAGAAATCATTCATACATGCTAACTTTTACAGTTTGACATAATTTTTTTTATTGCAAAAAAATGTGCATGGTCTAGCAACTTTGTCTTGTGTTTGGTACTTACATTAAGCTTTATAGACATGTAATCCATTATTTAAATGGAGGTCAGTGGCATTGACCTTGTCTAGTCAATATAAGAACCTAATTTGAATCCCAACATAAAGTGGGTAAAGAGTGGAGGATAAAGAAGAAAATATGAAAGAAATAAAAGGATAACGTATACAAAAAATACAGGTAGGATAGAAAAAGCAAAGGAATTAAGGATGAAATAAAAAGATTTCAGAGGAGAAGAGAAACTAAGCAAAGGGAAGGAAAAGGATGGCAATAGAAGGAAGGGAAAGGAAATGAAAGGAAACAAAAATGTATAGGACAGGACTTGGCAAGGCATGACAGAAAGAAAAGGAAGAAAAGGGAAGGGGAGGGAAGGAGAGGAAAGAGGAGGGAAGGGATAGAACAGAAAAGAGAAGAGAAGAGAAGAAAAGAAAAGAAAAGAGAAGAGAAGAAAAGAAAAGAAGAGAAAAAAGAAAAGGGATCTCATGGGAAGTCCACCAATTAGGTTAGGTTTTGGTAGGCATTAAGAGGTTCCAATCTCCATGGTTTCATTTATAACATATTATGACTTCCTCTTCAATACATTTTTCTTTCCACCACTCATAAATAAAATATCATCAAAGCTGTTGTTACATGGTTTGAAATTGAGGACTATAAACTGTTAGGTACATAAATTTTAAAAAAAAAAGCTCTTACTTGTCTTGAGCATTTTGATAATAATTCAAAACAGACTAACTCATGTACAATGTAACTTTAATTATAATTCCCAGTTGTGGCAAGCTTTTATAACATTTTCTTAAATGGACTTTGTGAGAAAAACTACATCCATCATCTTTTGAAACTCTAGGCAAAATATATTTGAGAGGAAAAATATTTTCAAACAGTTAATCTATGAACACAGTAAAATTACCACTAAACAGTAGAACTACATGTGCAAAATAAAGTGCTTTTTCATCTATTTCCATTGGAAAAAATCTAATGAAAGAACCTAGTGAAGAATTTGTTTATTTTTTCTTTAAAATGTACACTAAACTTACTTCCTTGGGTTTATATTCTGAACTCTACAGCCTTTGTAGGCTGTAAAGAGTTTGTACTGCAGCTAAAGTCATTTTCTTCTCTACCAGTGACCCAAGTTTTGTTCCCAGTACGCTTGTAAAGTTGTTCACAATAGCATGTAACTCAAACAAAGGGGAAACCTACACCCTATTTTGGCTTCCTTGGGTACCTACACACAACTGTCTTGTACACAAAAATTAAACATATACTAAAAAAAATTATTAAAAATAAAACTTAGATTTTTGTTCTATCAATTGTTATAAGTCAATTGGAATTTATGTTCTATGTGTTTAATATAGTTTATTTTTCTATCTTCTGATTTTGTAACTCATATTCATCTGAGAGTTAGCTTCTGCACAAATGTGAAATTATCATGTAAGAGCATGTTCAAGTGTACATGAATGTATAAACACTTATTATTGTCTTAAATGTTTGATAAATATTCATTATTTTTATTGACTGAAAAATTATTCTATACAATTGATTCTGAAGGTGTTATTAATTGATAAAATAAAATGGCTAAGCAACATTTTTATTTCTCTTCTTGGTTGATAGACAAAGAAAGTTTCATTATGAAGCATTTCAGAATATACATTATTATATTTTTCACATATCCATCCTCAACTGCCTTCCCTAGTTTTTCCTGCCCACACTTTGTTGATCCCTAATCCACAATCTTCTTTCTGCATTTAAATATAGAGTTTCCAGAGGAGAAAATACAGTGTTTGTTTTTATTATTTCTCATTACCATTTAGCTTGAAATCCAGCCACAGTATTCCTAGTCCTTGTAATAAAGATAGGCATATGGTACAATACTTAGCTACAATATTTCATTCTTTTTCTTTTCTTTTCCTTTTTTCAATATGCTTTTCTAATAGTCACTCAATATGTTGGTCATTTCCCCCTCTTTGTTTCTTTGTTAATTTATTTGTTTCTTCATTTCATTCCATCTTTCCTTCTTTCATCCTTTATTGGGTATTGATAATTTAAGGTCCTATATCTTTGTATATGCTAGACATGTATATTAATTATGTAGCTCCATCTATGCAATGCCTAACCTCACCATATTCTGTAACTGCTATGTGAGAACTAGTGAAGAAGTAAGGCTGTATTTACATGTCATTTTTTCTTGTTATTTGTAACAATCTGGTAATATTTTTTAAACAATATCACCAATGAAAGCTTTCAAGATAATTTTTTTTTTAGTTTTCATTTCTTTTTTCCCCTCTTTCACTCATGTACAGTCTAAGAACATAGGATCACATTGGAGCCAAAGCTTTATCTTGACACTTAGCTTTGCATTCTTATGACATCCTAAGATGTTTTTAATTAAATCATTCTTCATTTCCTCTAAAATCAGCTACCTTTTTTTGAAACTTCGAGTGATTATTTATTCTAAAATGTAAAGTTATGATTTGATTTAATGTCTCTGTGAAACTCAATAATATGTATAATTAATGTGGAGTAATCATTGCAAGTTTCCAAAATATTTAATTTTGATAAAAATTCAAGTAAGAATGAACTGAAAATCTCAAGCATAAGTAATTCAATAGGTGTGCTGATTAAATCCACTGCACAATAACAGGACATGAGACCCATGATTATATTCAATAATTTTAGATAAAACTTATCTTCAAACATAGTTTGAAGTAAAGATTGCTGAAATTAAATTTATATAAAATATGTTAGCTATCTGTCCATTATGTGTTTGTTGAAATTTTTATGGTGTCATTTTTGCATTCCAACTTAAAGTGTGCAGATGACTCCACTGATGAAGATAGCTTCAGATATGCCTCATTGATAAGATGTTATAGAATGTAAAAGAACAAATCTTAAAACTTAGCTCTCATGGACTTTTTTTTCTTTTCTTCCAATCAGTTTGCAAACCCCAGAATTAAATATTTATGTAGTTGAAGTCTACATATCTTTTAATGTTTTTCATTCTCCTTAGATGTTAAGATGTTATACAACAGTAAAACTTTCATATTGTTTTGTAAATTTGTGTATTCTGTCATTATTTTAGTAATAATAATGATTTGCCTGATGTCACACTGGTAACACATAACAAATGAGATGAAAGGGCGTATTTTATTCAATTACTTCGATTAAATGTAAAATTCTAGCTAATAAATAATTAGATTATTGGAATTAGATTAGTTTAAATAAATAAAATTTAAAGTCTCTACAGGCAACATTATCAGTTTCCTCAAATTCATATTCTATAAGCAGAAATTTGAGATAAAGTTAAAATTTACTAGTATATTCAAACAATGATGATTTTTAATATGTGTGTGAAATTAATTAATGTGTGTGGTCAGAGGTCAACTTTGGGTATTCTTCACTCTATTTTTTTGGTAGAGAGAGAGAGAGAGAGGAGAGGAGAGGAGAGGAGAGGAGAGGAGAGGAGAGAGAGAGAGAGAGAGAGAGAGAGAGAGAGAGAGAGAGAGAGAGTCTCTCATAGATTCTGGACCTTACTTGATTTACATTGGCTTGCTAGTCAAACTCCAAGATCTGGCTACTTCAATTCACCAAGTCCTACGTTTACAGACACACCAACATATCCACCTTTCTTGGATCACTTCTGGTAGCTGAAATCAGGAATTCATTGTGCACAGCACCTCTGATTCATCTCTTCTAATCCTTCTAACAGTTCACTGGTTCTTGATAATTATTTGCTATGATTATCTTCATCTTCATTTTTGTTACCAGGTGTTTGATATTTTTAATCAATAGCAGACAGAATAGAGAGGCATCAGTTTCTTGTACAAGTTAAAAAATTTCTACTGAAGTTAGAATGTACAAGGGTAGAAAACTAAAGAGTATACGATACTTCTCAAATTAACTAATAAACTTAGTAATCATAACTAATAACATAAATTTCATCCTACTTTGTGATAAAATTTTGCTTATTGATACATTTCCTCCACTGCTCCACAACATATGCTTTTACCTTTCTGGTACCAACAATGTAATAACCCTGTCTCTCTTTTGTGTCTTGCATAGATTAATACTTACTAGGCTGTAAATTATTTCCACCTGAAAATGACCAGCAGTGACTGATACACTCTTTCACCCTTGCCAGGTGTGTGATGATGGCCTGGTTTCTGTGTTCAGGAACGGTAGTAAAGCAGTAACTCATGACAGTTCCCATGTGGCTGGTGAATATGTGAGGAGAGGGAAGCATAAATATAAGGTATTCTAGATTATAAATGTTAAACTAGAGCTGGAACAGAAAGTGGATATTTATGAGTTTTTGTGGCTCAATTCACAGAGCTAACAATTATACTTCAAACTATTCAAATCCCTAAGGATCTTCTAATAGTAATTTAGAAGACAAAAGGCAAAAGTGAATATACTGAGAAAGGCATCCTTTCCCAGGAAGAAGCTTAATTGTACAGTTCTGACCACTAGGTTGTAGTGGTATTACAAAGCTAATACACATACTTTCAATTAAATGAAGCACTATGCAATTTGATATGTGCAATTTTATTGAACGATTAATGTAATTTGTAGATAGTTAAATTTTCCATATAAAGTATCTGAAAGAATTTCTATTTTTTCAGTTGTATCTGTGAGAAGAAATTTAGTCTTCTAATATCTCTTCCATGAACATACTTTCTTCATTAATTAATGTCAAGAAAAGATGACATTTTCTAGTCAGATTCAAATGGTCATTTGAATTTCTGAATGCTATTCAACTGCAATTCAACTCTCTTCTAATAAATTTTCTCTCTTTTTTCTCTTTGCTTCCCAGTCACATTCT